TAGGGATAAAAACCTCACCCCGGCCATTAGATTGCGACCCGTTCTTCCATGACTATGGGATAGCACGCAGTGAAGCAGAGCTTGTGATCGCAATGTGGGGCATGCCAGTAACTGACATGTATGGAACAGAAATCAAGATACCATTGTACTTGACGAAAGGAAACAGTTTCTTGCTTTTTGGGAATGAGATACTCCACAAGTCAAGGCTCCTTGGGCCAGAGAATGCCTTTGTTTATAGCAGCCGGGGTGCGCCGGTTGTCGGACAAGTAAGTAGTGCGGCAAAAATACAGCGAACAAATATCAGCAGAGGACCGTGACGCCAAACGGACATATGTGTTAGGAATTCCGTCGAATGCCTCTTCTTAAAGTCTTACTTCCTTTCATTTCGCTCTCTTATGACAACTCCAAGATTTGCACCATTCTGGAAGAGCAAGGTTTCCGATGGGAAAGGCGCACGGCAGATTGCTTTGAAACTGCACGGCTGCTCCCCCTCAAAGTGGAAGACAAAATTGAGCTCAGCAAGCGAGGTTCAATCCGCTCACCAGTGCTAAATCAAGCGCTCTCAGCTGTTGTAGCCAAGTGCACTTCATGTAAGAGTACAGGAAGGCCAGCCAGCTCAAGAAAAGTTTCTTTCGGCAAGATCCTAACTTCCTTCAATTAACATGTGCAAATAGATTATCTCTACATTAAAGAGCTATGCATCAACCCTGTTCTACACATTGTAGATGTACATACCTGGATTTTCGTGAAATGCTTGATGCTTACTAGACAAATAGAAGCAGCAGCAAAGGCATTCGATAATCAATGGTGTGGCGTGCACGGCCCACCATCTCTCGTCGCCGCAGATCCTGAAATAAACAACTCAATATTTAAGTGCTGGCTGGAATATGTTGGCGCGCAGTTCGAACCTCGCCCTGATCGACACCATAATAAGCTTGGCGCGGTAGAGAGCAAGATTGCAGTCATTCGTTTCATCGCGCAACGAGTTGCGAAGAACGCAAGATTCTTCAAGCAGAGACGGAGCGTAGAGTTTGAGCCGAAAGATATACTCTCACGTGCGACATTCGTCAGCAACATCCTATACGGGAGTAAGAGGATGAGTAGCTTCGAGATAGGCAGAGAGTACACTGCTTCCGTGGCGGGCCTCTCGAAAGGCTACTTGTTGGAGGACATCATGAAAGCCCACGAAGAGCAGGTTGCTCGCAGGGCCTTTTTCTTGCTGGACAAGGGTCGTTCCCCGTATAACGTTGCTTCTCATGATGAGAAGCAACGTTATACGTGGAACGGAGAAGTCTGTCCCGTGGGGGTCATCATGACTCCCACGGGACAGACTTGTCCACTTCTTAAATCGAAATGTCAAGTTCGGTAGATGGGAAACAGCGTAAGTTCGTTCCCCAGAATCTTATCTTGTGATCATCTCCAGAATCCGGATCACAAAATATGCCCAGAAGAGCTTCTTACGAGTACGTGCGCTTAGCTCATCTATCCCCGCTGTTATTTGAGTTGGACCAAATTGCTTTTGTGTTCCCTCGGTCGCACTCCGTGGTCGAGGCATGCGCCATTGGCGGCACCGACGATAATGTTGCTGTAGCAGCGACCCACAGGGATCTGTTGTCCGATGCCTTTCTATAGCAGAATGAAAAGGACCCCGAGACGCTCACAAAAGATGCTGGTGATACGGAACTCCGGAGCACTGATGATATAAAAAAGTATTTCGATGACGAATATCCTCTTTGGGCCATGCATCCTCACTCGGGCATATCCCCGAAGTCTCATAAGCGATTGTTCAGCAAACCGTTTCACGATGTGGGAGCTTGTTCTGGTACTGAGGTGAGGACACTATACAGCACTGCCAGCCCAAAACATGTCGGAACAGACGCGGTAACTTTGAACAACAGTTACAATCCACCTCGAACTGAAAAGGACATCGGAGATGTACAGGTGAGTGAACTTCCTCATCTTCCATTCCGGTTGGAGTCCGTAGAGCAGGAAGCCCTACATGAAATCAAAGCTGTTATTGGCGACAAGACAGCTTCGGAATTCGAACTTCAATTCGCCCCTCGCTGGCTTCTCCACAAACCGATAGCAGGAAAGAAGAAAAATGCGACGGAGCATACGAAGAGGTACGTCTCAAGACCTTGCCAAGAGGCTTGAATGTGAAACCTTCGCACCTATTCTTTTAGGTGAAGACGGATTCCGAAAAGTACAAGCTTCGACTGAAATGTCGCATGGTACCTCACAGCAACTGTGATAAAGACAAAGAAAAAGTTCGGAAGGACTCTGCAACCGCCCAATTACTCATCAACCGACTCGTGCATTCCGTAGCCTCCATTCTCAATATGGTCGTCGCTACGATCGACATAAAAGGTGCATACCTTCAAGGAGGATACCTGTCAAGAGATATGTATGCTCGGCCGCAGAAAAGATGGGCATCACCCGGTGTTCCCTGGCGACTCTCGAAGCCAGCTCATGGGATTGTGAGGTCTGGTTGTCTTTGGCAGTGGCCTTTCGAACGCTGGATGGCTGGTGAAGACATCAGGGAAGTCCCCTGGGCTTCCGCAGTTGTTTCTGAAGGTCGACCAAAACGGTCACATTGTAGTGGCCATATGCAAAGTTGTCGCCGACCTCCCTGCTGTCGATTCAAAGTCAGCCACTTCCGATTTCCAACAGTCTATATCGAAGCGATTTGAAGTTGGTCGGTTTGTCAGGAGTCGAAGGCTCATATCCAACCGCCTGCACATTTCCCAGGATGAAGACGGCACAGTACACATTGATATGGTCTCATATCTTGAAAACCCCAGCCACTGCCAGTCTCTCCAGGACGCCGGCAGGAGTCCGAAAAATTCACTCCAGTTGAGATCACCTCCTATCTTGGTATGGCGGGATATTTGAGATTTTTAGGGCAGGGCGTACTGCCAAAAACAGCCTTTGCTGCCGGTTACCTACAAAATTCTGCGGGATGACTTAAGATGGCTGATATTACAAACGATAATATGGTTGTCCGCGAGATCAAGAGCCTCGCCCCAAAGCTCACGTACTGTGCACCACCCTATCTCGAGCAGCAGCCCTCTTACCTCTGTTTCTCACATGGGAGTCATGGGTCCACATCTGATGGGCAGACTGGATACCTCTCTAGGGTATACCTGCTTGCAGGGGTGCGGGCCATACTGTCGACTGGCTAAGCTGCAAACAATCTCGTGTCGCGTTCTCCTTAATCGGCGCCGAAATTATGACTGCTGCTACAACTACCTATCGCGGTTCCTTGATGGCAGACAGTCTTCAACAGGAGTACGGATCACCATGCCCATTACCATTTGTGTTAACTGTCGACTCACACGGGTTATACTCATCTGTGACGACCTTACACGAATGAACAGACTACCGCTTGCGACCCTCCGTCGCACGCATGCGGGACTCAATCGAGATGGAAGAGTTCGCTTGTCAAAACTAAACTTGATAAATTCCTCAATACCACGGCTTGCAGTGTCGCGCACAACAGTACTTGCATCGTAACGAAGCGATGACCGCCCACAATCGCTGGTTCTCGGAGCACGGGCTGTCGGGAGGGGTGATCGATTCCGATTTCCCTTCACTGTGACACAAACACTACATTGGTGTGGCTCCACAGTAGGGGGGTTTCGGTTGTCAACATGTGACTCTCTCTCGAGTTTGACGGTGGCGATTATCGTTCGGTTTATTGTTGCGTTCCATTTATCGCGTGTGTTCTCATTTCATGGAGTCTTCTGGTTAAGATACTAAGTATTAATGCATATAAAGTGCTGGCAAAGCACTCTATACGGAGGTCCCTATATTAGTTCCAATTTCTCCGATAGACTATAGTTATCGATATTGAAGCTTGATATCAGCTTCTTCCTTTTGGTTCTCTTGTGTAACAAGAATTGACACGATACCACGCGATGGATCCTTGGTAAGCTGAATCTTGATGACGCCCTCACAAAACGGAATTTAGAGATGTATGGAAAGCTGAACCAAGTGATGGTAAATGGAACACTGGACCCTTCAACTTTCCAAAACGCAAAGAGAGTCCAGTTTACCTAGCAACTACCCGTCTTCATCGACAAAGTGCTTCCTTCTACTGGAACTTTCCTTAATAAACGGTTTCCTCTACTGCTTGCCTGTATTTTGCTTTCTGTGCATTTCAGTCGAGACCTTCCTCGATCCCCCATGACGCTTCCTCTTACCCACGGGTTGCTTTACGAAGAGAATAATCTCAGGAATACCTAGGAGCTGAACTCCGTCCCCAACACAAGCGCTGAGAGTTCTTGAGTCAATTTTCAACGCATACTTCTCTTCTGGATCTGAAACTAACTCCCGATTGGCATCTATCACGACAACGTGGTCGCTCACGTCACCCATGGCATCTAGCCCACCAAACCGAGCAATAAAAATGCCCTCTAGTTGTTGGCGAACCCACCCCCGCACTTCCGACACACCAAAGTCTCTGATCATCTCCAGGCGATGAGAACGGACGTGTTTTTCCACCCACGTCGCAGGTTGTCCTAAATTGGTCGCATGGAAAAGACCCACATTTAACATGTTCACGGCGGGTTCCTCTCCATACAATACAAAGAGTCCATTGCCAACTGCAACTCGAAGGCACTGCCCGCAAGGATATATACAAACGTTTGAACTCCACATCTCATCTGTACGGCGGAAACAGATTCACCCCGAGCGCCAGGACGGCTGGGTCTGAAGATCCGGTCCGCCTCGCGAAGACAGCTACTGTGAAGGTTGTGCAGAAAACGTGCTTCTGCACGCGAGTCGTACAAGATTTCAAACGTGTCACCTTTACCGTCGGAATTGGGCCGTCGTTCGACATCTGAGTCGATATCGCTGCAAATGTCGTCCAAGATGTCGAAGGATCCCAGGATATGGTGCGACTTGGCGGTGTGGAATTCAATGCGCCAGAAACGCGCTGAACTCCCACGAGGATCTCCGGACGCACGAAAGCCCTTTTCTGGAAACTGAAGGTCCTTATCATGCGAGTAAAACATCTGGCAGACTGTGTACTCCACAGTATCGGCGCCCCCGCCAATGCTCCTGGACCCCCATTAGGCAGGAAAACTAATCCGTTCGAGCTCTTCTTCGTCGTAGTGGTGCTCTGGCCGTGCAGAGAGACAACGCCAGAGGTCCTCCGTGTTTGGGGGAGGCATTCGTAATGTCTTGACGAATTCCTCCATCTGTATCGACACGGCCAACGAACCCCCTCGCACGAGAATCATTGTTCTCGATGCCTCTATCTCCATGCAGACCCGTAGCACTCGCTTCCCGACGAGAGGTATACGCCTCACATCCACCATGCTTGCAACGCTGCTGTCTCTCCATACCGTGGCCCACATGCGCTTATATCAGTTGCGGTCACGACAATAACGGCGCGGCATGCGAGAGAGAGGTGCGATGTACGTAAAAAGGTGAGATGAAGCCAGGGAGAGGAACGTGGTAGTGCGCTGGAAGTGCTCTGTAAGGGGAGAATGAAGTGGGAACCGCGTGCAAGTCAGTAAAGGACTCCAAAAGGGAGAATCGGTAGGGTCGCGCACGCCGAGTGTACAACTCCAGGGCCGCGAACTCAACTTATGAGTGTCAAGTATGGCACGGCGCAGTTGGGTGGTTGGGATCCAGACCTACGGCGTTTGAAACTATCGACGGTAATAACTCTCCGTCGCCGCCGTCGGTCATGGCCCAACGGGGGGCCTTGTATGCACTGTAATTCCATGGCACATGCAGCTCTCATTTAGTAATGATAGCTGCGACGGTGCGCTCGGCAAGTTCCAGAATTTGCGGGGGAAATTCTGGGGTACTTAGTTGTGGGGAGTAAAGTGTCCGAAAATCCGAGGGGGAGGAAAAATGAACCCTCGATGGCTTTTCGGTCTCTGACTTCGCTTCGCTCGATCTCCGGCTGCCCCTCTCTCTCCGCTGCGCCCGACAAGGAAACCGAGCCCGGACATCCGCCCGCCCTGTCGTGATCCCGCCGCAGAAAGACACCGTTAACGCTGTCCTTGACTTCCACGTTGCAGAAGGAAAAAGAGAACCGCTCGACGGGGACTCAGAACTACAGTGCACATGTCCTTGCCGGTTGTTTTTACAGATCTCTGGAAAAGATTTCTTTTTGAGCAGTACGCTTCTTAAAAACGGTGACTGTTGAATATCGCTGCTACAGTGCGCGAAATTAGAGTAAATACACCCATCGAGCATCACATAAACCATACTTACTGAGCCCCTTTCCAGGAATCGCTCCGTGTACAATACCACCGCAATGCTATAGATACGTCTATAGAAGCCAAATGGTGCATAAGAGCTTAGTGTTCTCAGGCAATTTATATAATAAATAGCCCGAAAATCGCATAAATTCGCAAAATTCTATACAGCACAGTACTTTGAAGGCACCGAAATAATCGTCGATTGCTCACTACGTAGTCAGAATACACAGGATCACTGAAAATCAGTGGTCCCCACCATCGTATTTGTACATTATTTTTGACCCCAAATATTTATATTCTGATTCAACATAACATTCGTATCAATTTCCAACCTTGTTTTCGTGCTTTACTTTTGCGTACCACTGATTAACATTATAATTTCTGATGAGCTTCATAAACGTTGCTGCGCCACGTGGTCAGAACGCTGCTCTGGATTAGTATAAACGTTGCTGCGCAACGTCGTCAGAACGCTGCTGTGAACAGCCACCCCTACCGAAAAGAACAGACTAATATGTTGTGTTCTCCTGTACTAATTTCGAGTTAATGGAAATTGGTTAGAAGGGTAAAGCCTCTATACATTACGTTGAATTTAAAGTGCCAAATGTTGTGCTCAAGACAAGATCCGATCTCAGATGTGCTGCATGTGCCGCATAGTTATAGGGCAGTCTCTGGTGCGGTGGCAACGGCTCGAGCGTCGACGGCGGGCGCGGCAGGTGCCGCTGAGATGACGCGGCGATGCGCCCGACCATGCCCGTGCGCGAGACGCGTGTGGCCGTAGGCGGGGCCGTCGGCCGGGGCGACGGGCATGGGTGGCTGCGGCGTGATGTGCCGGCCGCGGCGGGAGTTAGAGGGGCGGTGGGATCGGCAGGGGCGGCGGCTGCGGCCGGGTCGTGCATGGTGTAGACGGGGCGGCGGCCGCGCTTGGAGGCGGCGGTGGACATCGGCAGGGTTTGGGGGTAAGGGGGGACAGAAAACAAAGGGGAGGTGGTATGGTTTTCGGTAGGCGTCTGGGTTTGGGGGGCGGGGGAAGGCAAAGGAAGGGGGTCCGTAACGCGTAGAGGGGAGGGGTGGGTGCAACTGGGTGCAACTGGATGGATGCAAAAGGGGTAAATTTACAGTGCCGTAGACGGCGCGCAGGATCCAGCGCGTGCGCGTGGGGAGGGACAGGGCCCGTTTTTGGCGCAGAAGAGCGCACGTGGCACGGCACGCGTGAAAACGCGTCTCCTTGGGAGATGCTCCCGCCCGTTCTATGACGCATTCCCACCTCCATCTCTCTTCACCCCATTCCAACTGCCCACACCAACCAACGAAGTCCTCCCCGCCTCCTTTAATGAAAACCCTCTCTATCTCCCTCATCTCTCTCTAGCTAGCCCAGGCGTCGCTTCATCGTCGCCGTCTGCTCGCGCGGCATTACTATCCCAATATTCTTCCGCCCTTTCCACCGCACCACCCTTTCCAACACCTCTTCTTTCCCGTCCACTTCTCAAACTAGCTCCCTCAACTCTACGCACTCGATAATATCAAAGCCCAGCGCCGCCTCCTCCACATTCCGCGTCTGCGCCACTTTAATAGTCATAACTTCCGAAGCAGCTCCAGTCCCTCGTATATTACACGGAACGGACACGTCGTGTATGTGCTTATCCCTACAGTCTTCGATGTACCTTGGCTTCCGCCTTTTAAAAAGCGACTCTACACTCTTCTTGCGCCTGCGCTGCGCCGCGGCACTTACTAGCTACGAGGGGCTTCCAAGGGTGGGGGGCGGGGCGAGGAATTGAACTCGCGACCAAAAGAAAAGGGCAGCAGGGGAGTGGTACCGAAGCACACCACCCCTGCGAAGCCCTTTTCTCCGTCGCCCCGCCTTTGCATGCGGCGACTACCGACCTTACTGGCGGTCGCCAGTAGTAAATTTCCAGCCCTTTTATACCCGACACCCGACACTTGAACGTGATACCCGACACTTAAACGTGTACACGTAGAGCTGCAAACGCATAATTCCCCACGGCTCCCCTTAGTGAAGATCCATGCCACCGACCCGTAGTCTTCAGATCCCGCCCCTCCTACTACAGCCCTACAGCCCTCTTCCGCGACGTGCCCCACTTCCCATTGTAGCCCTCTTCACCAACGTGCCCGGCTGCAAGCACCCGATGCTTCCTTAACGGGGGATCTTCCTCAATCGCATCGCTCTTTGCGCTGACAAAACGTCACTTGCGGACGGAAAAGTCGACCTAGTACTACCGCTCGGCAGACTCGTACGCGATGCCATAAAAGCGCTTGTTCTTAAATGTGAGGACATTGTAGACATTGTACAGGACTCCCTCGTGGTAGATGTTATCAACTTCGGGCGCTAGTTCAGGGGAAGGCGGGGCCTCTGGTTCCATCGGAAGGATGCGGTTCCGGCGATCCTTCTCCTGGTAAATTTACCAGATGGAAAACGGTGGGGGTACAGAAAACGACGAAGACAAGCCAATAAGAATGCATGACGCGTGCAAATCATTTGTCATATTTTCAAAAATGATCTGCATGCATGACCGAAAAGTTTTGACGGCGTGAAGGGCAGCCGGTGTGTCCGCAGCGGTGGCACGTGCGCAGCTCGCGGCGCAGCTTTTCGAGGGGCGTCGTGGTGCATATAGTGGATATGTGGGAATGAAATGTGGATGATGAAGAGGAGATGGCGGGGCTGGAAAAGGCGCTGAGTGAGCGGAAAGGGACGGGCTCCTTACATAGTGATGGAGGGCATCGAGCAACGCTAAGGTCGACGAAGAAAGCGTACAAGGAATTGCAACAGCGGCAGGAGCGACACGGAAAATTGAGGACGGTGCTGAAGGACATGGCCTCGGAGAAGGCTCTGCTGAGCAAGGGGCGTCGTGTGTTGGAAAGGGGCGTCGTGTGTTGGAAAGACGAGCGAATTCTACGACAGGAGCGCCTGCCGTTTACCGTTGGCAACAAGAACGCAAGCGATAGTACGAGAACTAGCTCTTGTCATGTGGGATGATTCCGGGGATTTATACTTAATTCTTAACTGGCAAGATCGCACTGCTACCTTTACAGACTTCTATCGATCAACCCAAAATGGAGTCGCGATTTTCTCCCGTCCATCGTCCTTGTCCAGTTCATCGTGATTATGCCTCCAATGCGAACACCGACTCCGTAGCTCATCCCAATCGGTTCTCGTATCTGTTCATTAGAGACGGCAATATCCCCAAACAGAACACCCACTAACGCCGGCAAGCTGTCCAGCAAACTGGGTGAGATCACCTTTCCAGATCGATTCGCTGGGGCATCATTCACGTGTTTCGATACAGAGGTGTTGTCTTCACTCTCTGCATTAGCCCCCTTGTCGTTTTGGACGGCGGGGGTCTTTTCGCTGCCTCCCTTAGTGCCACTCGTCTTTTGTTGAGTGGCAGATTTATCGATGTCCTTGCCGGCACTGGTGTCTCCGTCCCTTTCGTTTTCGCTCTCATCATCTTCTGGAACTGCCCCCGGGAGAGCACCGCGCGTCAACGGTACCCTAAGCTCAAGTCGCCCCGTCCCAAAACGACTTGTACCGTCCCAGCTCTCCATGGTCATAACCGCGCACATTCATGACACCCCCCAGCGATTTCTGTTCATGCCAGGGTAGATTATCCGACCCGATCCCCAAATTGAGACCTGCCGCAATAGAAGCGTATGGCCCCACCCCCACGTATTGTGCCAGCCGGACAACTGTGTTGCGAAACATCGTGCCGGCCTCATTAAATGTCTTGAGCTCTCCACGTTGAGCATATGCCCAGACCGAGGACAATCGATGGGGAAGCGCGTCATGTGTGCGATACTGCTTTGCAGGACGGTTTGAAAAATGGACGTATCTGGCGTGGCACGTTCTGACGGGTTCGCCTGGACGCTCTCCGCGACCGAGTTGAGCAACAGCAACCAGTTGCCACTGCCCGGCCTGTACGCCAAGCTCCAGCATGGCGCCGTCGCAATCCTTCTCATACCTGAGCGGGGTCTCAATCCCGCGACGAGTAACTTCATCATCGCCTGATGGTCTGCGTAGGCCGATGGAGCGGGTAGCCGGCACCCCCCTGGAAGAATTGGCATCGCGGAACGCACGAATCTTGTATGAGAAGGGGATTCTGGCGCCAATGCGCATATCTTCAAAGGCGACACAGCCCGCGGCGCGGGGGGAGTCCAAACGCTTTTGCCACTCGATGCGGATGCGTTGGGCTTTTCCGCGAAAGTTGTTGTCTAGAAAGGAGACGTCCCCGTACATGCGCCCGTCGGAAGTGATGCCAGCGCCCGGTTCCACGCGGCAAGTCCGGCGTTCTTTGACGTTAAGCACAAGCTCGACGCGCTCGGCGGAAACGGATTTGACTTGAACGTCTGCAGACTCGAAAATACCGAGGGCCATAAGGGAAGCGACGCCCTCTGCGGTCCATCTAAAAATGTCGTCCCGCTTCATGCCGAGGACGCGGGTGATCAGGTCGACTCTTGTGACGACGGAGGCGCCCTCGACGGGTTTGCCGTTGCTGTCGACCGCGACAAGACGGATGGCGTGCAGGCGGGGCTCAATGGAGTAAAGGGCGAGCGTGCGGTTGAAAATCGAAGGGTAAGTGACGATGGAGAGGCGGGAGCACGGGTAGCCGTTTTCTGTAAACCAGTTATTGCAGACGTCGATGGCGGCGTCGACTTGCTTGCGGTTGACATTCTGTTTGGCGATGGGTGCAAACGCTGAGTCGATGACGGAGAAGGGTATTTTTTTGCGCTCAAGGACGTGGACGCGGCCCAGGAATGTGTTTCCATCGGGGTTTCTGAAGGGGTTGTAGATGGTGAAAGCGGGGGTGAGGGTGCAACGACGACGGATGGGGAGTGCGGGAGAGGGGCCTTGAGGGGAGGGGCTGGGAAATGTGCCCAGATGAAAGGGGGGCGGTGGAGGGGGAGGGAAGAGGAAGGCCATTGTGAAATGGAGGGGCTGAGATGCGAATGAAAATGGGGAGGGAGAGCGGGGGACGACGCCTGTTGACGACACCTGTTGACGGCAACAATGAGGACGGTTGACGAGCTTGCGGATCAAAAATCCACCATTTGGGAAGGCCGCCACTGAGACGGGAGACGGGAGACGCGCCATTGATGTGTAAGGGCCGTTCCTAACGAAGAGTTCGCGGTGCCAGCACCCGAGCACCTGGACATTTGGCATGAATGTATTGGTTGAAAAATTATTGGAATTATACTGAGGGCCGTGTCGCCATGCTGGTCTTGTCCCGCCACATGGACATTTCAGCAGAGGTGTGTGGGAGCGTGTTACGCGTGCAGCACAGGCCCGCCCGTGCGCAACGTGCGGTCTCATGTGAAATCCCACCCTCATTAAATTTGTCCAATTTTAACACCGGACGGCGGCGTCGGTGTGGGTAATCAAGCCAGCCTCGCCTGTCCAGCAATGCACATGTCCCCCGGTGAGCTGTAGCCACCCTCCTTTTTGGCCTAAAATTTCGGGAGGCGGCGGTGGCGGGGCGACAAGATGTACGTATGTGCTGTAAAGTTACAGTACCTTCGTGTCGTACAGGTTGGGAATCGGAAGGAAAGCCACCGCGCGGGAATGCGATTCACGACGCTAGTGAAGAGGGCAATTGATGTCGTGGAGCGCTAGAAAAATCATTCCATGGTTTTTGGATGAGAGATTGTTATATGAAGAGGTGGGTGAATATGCCAGGAAGAGCGGGTTGGCGTGTGATATTGGGTGATGTCAAGGAGGTTGGTGGGATGGATGTTTTGTGAGGTGAAGGTCGGGTCCGGGGGTGAGGGAGGAGAGGAGGAGGTCGTGCTCGAGGGTCGGGGGTCGACATGTTGGTGATGGACAAGGTGTTGGAGGGGGATCAAGGGGAAGAGGGTTCAAGGAGGGGAAATGGAAGGGCGCGAGGAGTAGAGAGTTTCGGTTGTGGTAGATCAGATGATCAGGTGAAGTCTTCCATCCTCCACGGTATCGCTACAGTTACTGTCACCAATTCTATATAACCACCCCGTCCCACATGTACCCTGCCATCACTAAAATGTTCGGCCATCTCAATCGTGATCAAATCCGCCCAGATCACATCCACCTCACCCACCCCCAACTCACAGTAACTTCTCTCTCTCCCTTTCCTAACATAATATCTACCCTGTATCTGCCTACTCTACCTCTGAAACCTCAGACATGTCGGGGAAAGGTTTGATGTATTCAGTGTTGTATCTGATATCCGTGAAAATTGATACCTTTATTATTCATTGGAAGAACTCATTGCCACCTCCAAACTTCTCTATCAGATTAATTCCTAGATTATGATCCCACATTGTGAGTTCTTCTCGGACAGGGTAAGCCTTTGCAAGAGTACACTCTCCCACGACTCAAAATGTCAAGTATATCGCGTGAAATAAGTAGTCATGGATATACTGTAACATGTGGCAAATCACCCCTCAGTCCTGTTTCTGCTGCTACCCTGAAGAAGGTGCTCGAAATTAAACTCATCATCATCATTGGAGTCATCTTCCCACAATTGATCCTGAACCTGTTGCATATTTTCGACACTTTTACCCGCCTCTCTCGCATTCTCTCGCTCTGAGGTACCTGTTGGAAAAATTGTGCACAGTTTGTCGAATGCTGCCGGAGATATCCTTAGGATTTGTGCATCCAATACATCTTTCTGTTTCGAAAGACCTGGCAGGAAGTTTAAAATCCGCACACGAGCCATGTTGCTACCGTTTTCTTCGCTTTCCTCGTATTCATCATGGTTACTATGCTGTGGCTGGTCTGCTTCATCTTCCTCTGCTTCGCCCGGAAACAACAATGTACCGCCGCCACTGATATTTTGTTCCTGTACCCCTTCATCATCCTCCATGGTACGCAAGGTAGACGGCAAAGCCAAATGACTCCTGCCGTTGATAACATCGTTGACAAACAAACGAAATAGCAATGCAGTTCGGAAAACTGTCCGTAGAGAGCCTGAATGACTGCAAAGAAAATCAGTCACGTCTTTGCCTTGGGTGTACGCTAGAAAGAAATTTAGAGATACTACAGCAAGGTTAATTGTGCGGTGCATACGTTTGCGTTGGGCTGGCTGAAAGCCTCTCCTCTGTCCGCCATTTTTTAGTAAACCCTCACCCACAAGAACATCGTACTCCAGTAGAACATGTAATTCCAATCGAGAATCACTCATTTCCCGCAGAAGGCATTTGTTTAATGCCACCGCGTTTGGAATGTCAGACGTAACTGCAGATGTAATTTGATCCCCGATGTTGAAATAGTGATCTGGATACTTAAACGATAACTTCGGGGGCTGAAAGCCTTCCGGTATGCCTCGTCGCGACTCTCACGGAATCAGCATGAACCCAAGATCTTCAAAAAAGCGCTTCTTGGCTGCAACTCGGGACTCCCTAAAAAAGTCGGTCACCATTGCGTACACACTTTGAGCGATGTAGATGGCCTCTCGTCCCTTCACGGTTTCCACGATGGGTTTGGGGGGCTTCTCCTTCGTTTCTACCAGTTTTCTTGTTATCTTCAGTATATCTTTTCCGACATATCCAGTCTCTAGCCAGTGAGGCATTTCACGCTGAGGATGGCGGTGTTCATGACTAACATTGTCTCTGTCATCGTTTCTCCCGCTGTATGAAACGTCAATCCTGCGCCTTCTAGCACTCTCGAACAGCTTCTTTACGTACCTGAACTTGAAATCACAATGCACTAGCGCCAATCCACATGCAAACGCCTTTTTCGTTGCTGTTTTGTTGTGGCCGTACAAGAACGCAGCCATAGCCAGGTGTGTGTGAGCTAGTTTAATGCCAAGGGACCAAGTATACTCCATGAAGTGACATACGCAACCTGTAAGAGTTTCTGACAGCAGAGAAGAGCCAAACACGAACTCTACTTGCGCTCCCAAGGAAGCATTCTCCTGTTCCACGAGGTCTTTGAAAGCCCATTTCGAGGTGAAGTTGGAGCTTCTCTTCGATTTCTTCCGCAAACCAGAACTTGAACCTGCCTTCATTCCTAACATGCCATCTGTAACGAGGTTTTTGACAGAATAAACTTCTTGTCGTAGATTTTTGATCGCACTTTCGACTGTATTAAACTTGGTTAAAAGAGTTCTCTGAAGGTTCTCCAAAAATATCCTAAAAGACGGGTCGGATTTAAGTTGAGCGATTTCGGACGTTCCGAGAACCCTTCGACGGTCAAGCACTGCATTGCGATTCGAATGCCCACCAGGGGTTTCGTTCTCTCGTTCACTCATTTGCGGGAGTTGCCTGCCATTCCTATGTATAGCTTGAAAATCACGGATCGGAGCTGTTGAATTGCCAAGGACACCTCCATCTCGAAGGGGAAGGTTGTCTCGGTTCGAGTGCACGGGAGTTCGTGGATTAGGAAGAAAAATTTCGGGATCCTGCTCTAGTCTTGGCCGTGGTTCCTCACCTTCTCTTGTCATGGGGGGCTGTGTTTCCATATCAGATGTGTTAGGGACATTTTGAAGCTCCATGGGAGTTGGACGTTTCCGTCTCTCCGCATGGCCCCCATGGATGGGAGGTGAGTCACTTCTGGGAAATATCGACAGTGCATCGCT